TAATAATAATAATAATAATAATAATAATAATAATAATAATAATAATATATAAATGTCGCTGCAGCTTTGAAAAAAAAAAATCTGCGTTATTTCCAAGCTATACAACATCTAAAACAAATTATTCCAATATTTTATCACTTGGTGACATTATAGGACTGACTATTTTACATTTGGCTTTTTTAATTGTTCACAATTTTAATATTGTTATATTGCTTTGAAAGCATTATAATTCATAAATGTGTAGTTGAAACTTATTTGCTTTCCCAGTATTGATTTTTGGACACCACAAGTGGTGCAAACATGTCACTTTACGCTGAACAAACATGATATCGTGCACCTCCTCTTCTATTTTAAACACATTTCACATTTGAAACAATTATCACATTTAAATTATTTTCTCCTGCCAGTCTTTGTGGTAAAGTACAAACAGGGGAAAATCATGAGGAACCAACCATAGCTGATCACAAGCAGCATGAAGGGTTTATTCCGCAGCAGTCTCAGGATGGAGGCCCTGTAGGAGTACTCATCGGGGTGGGAGTTCCTGGCCAGAGCCTGGGACTGGGTTGGAGGGATCTCTGGTCTCTCTTGAAACACTAAAGAAGAAACACACAAACACAAACAATCAAAAAGACAATCTAGTGTTTCATCGTGCCTATAATTGTAGTAAATTATCCGTTTGATGTTCGTTGACAGAATAGTGGAACTTGGGAGTGTGTACACTTTTGTTTACATGGAACTACAAGAGAAGATAAATCCCTGTCCCAGGAGTTTGGACCATTTCAGATGATGATGTCACTTTCAAAACCGTCAGATTATCAGTGGGTCATAACATACTGCCAACATACTTTACATCAATTCAGTTTTGTTTTCTTGGCCTGCTTTGACTTCTGTCAAATTTATTATGTTTCTGTTTTTTTTCCCCCTTTTACATACTTATACACACGCATACACACACCTCGATAACTAAATTGGAACAAAGTATTTAAAAGAATGCAGGCTGACTTTAGTGACGAGGTACTACTATAGTATAAACTACCACATGATTTTTATGACTCAAACAAAAGTACCATCAACAATACCCACGTCAGAAAGATTTTAATCAAATCCCAAAGCATGAATTCCCTCACACAACGATCCTGAATATATGTATCAAGTAAATGCATAATTGTGGCAGGGTGAAAGGTCAGTTTCACTGACAATGACGTTGATGGTGTGACTAGACAAACGGTTCAATTAAAGAACGTGTAAGAACATGGAACTGTGGCTGTCAGCTGCAATCTGACGATCTTTATCGGTTTATGACCAGCAGCTGATCCAAACAGTTTTATGATCAGAGTAGTAGACTTCACCAGTTACCACTGGGATTTCTTTGGTTGAAGTGGTTTGAATAAAAATAGATCCAGTGTGAAACCATAGTCTGATGATGCAGTGCTGCACTTTTTCCACATTTTGTTATGTTACAGCCTTATTCCAAATTGTATTAAATTAATCTCTTTCCTCAAAATTCTACACACAATACCCCATTAGGACAATGTGAAAATTAATGTTTTGAGATTTTTGCAAATTTATTTTAAAAAGAAAGAAACCAATTCATATTTAAGAATAATAATTTAACATTAATCTGAGGAGCAGACTGCTTTGAGTTTAACCCCATCGCAGAACTCTCACTCTTAATGGTGAACTAAAGTTCATTAAAAAAGTTCATTAGCAGGAGTTTGGATTCGGGACACGCCTCCAGAACCCGTTCTGAAGTTCGGTGGACATCCAGGCTGATCTGAGCAGAGTTGGGTCTGAGTAATGGTGGTGGAAAAGAGGCATAAGAAATCATATTTACAGAAGTATGCACAGCCTTTGCCATGAAGCTCCAAAATGAACGTACTGTTTCCACTGATCATCCTGGAGATGTTTCTACAACTTACTTGGAATCCACCTGTGGTAACTTCAGTTGATTGGACTGGATTTGGAAAGAGACACACCAGTCTATGTAAGGTCCCACAGTGGACAGTGCATGTCAGAGCACAAACACCAAGTATGAAGTCAAAGGAATTGTCTGTAGACCTCTGAGACAGGATTGTGTTGAGGCACAAATCTGGGGAAGGATACAGAAAAAATGTTGCTGCCTTGAAGCTCCCAATGAGCTCAGTGACCTCCATCATTCCTAAATGGAAGAAGTTTGGAAGCAGCAGGACTCTTCCTAGAGCTGGCCCGCTGTCTAAACTGAGTCATCGGGGGAGAATGGCCTTAGTCAAGGAAGTGACCAAGAACCTGATGGTCACTCTGTCAGAGCTCCAGCGTTTCTCTGTGGAGACAGAAGAACCTTCCAGAAGGACAAACATCTCTGCAGCAATCCACCAATCAGGCCTGTGTGGTAGAGTGTCTAGACAAAAACCACTCCCTAAAAAAAGGCACATGACAGCTCGTTTGTTAAAAGGCACCTGAAGGACTCTCAGACCATGAGAAACTAAATTCTCTGGTCTGATGATACAAAGATTGAACTCGGGTGTGAATGCCAGGTGTCATGTTTGGAGGAAACCAGGTCATCACCAGGCCAATACCATCCCTACAGTGAAGCATGGTGGTGGCAGCATCATGCTATGGGGATTTTTTTCAGCAGCAGGAACTGGCAGACTAGTCAGGGTAGATGGAAAGATGAATGCAGCAATCTACAGACACCCTGGATGAAAACCTGCTCCAGAGTGTCCTTGACCTCAGACTGGGGCGACGGTTCATTTTTCAGCAGAACAACCCAAAGCACATGGACAAGATCTCAAAGGAGCAGGACCACTCAGTGAAGGTCCTGGAGGGGCCAAGTTAGAGTCCAGACTTGAATCTGATTGAACATCTCTGGGGACATCTGAAAATGGCTGCACAGACGTCTCCAACCTGATGGAGCTTGAGAAGTCCTGCAAAGAAGAATGGGACAAACTGCCTAAAGATCAGAGCGCTCAGCTTGAAGCTTCATGTTCAAAAAGACTGGAGGCTGTCATTGATGCCAAAGGTGGCGCAACAAAATATTAAGTAAAGGCTACATATGAATACTTACGTAAATGTGAGTTCTTAGTTTTCTATTTTCAATTAATTTGCAAAATAAAAAAACATATTGTCATAATGGGGGATTGTGTGTAGAGTTTTGGGGAAGGAGATTAACTGAAAACAATTTGGAATATGGCTGTAACATCACAAAATGTGGAAAAAGTGAAGTGATGTGAATACTTTGCAATACTTTGTATTTGTGATTTTATACCATGGACAGCTTGTAGACCGTCTTATGAACAGACAGATGGAGACAAACTGGGGAACAAAGGGTTGGATGTTTATGTGTTCCTGGTCGTGGTCCATGAGGTGTCCAGCTGTGCAGTTCGATATTTTTATGTCAAAAATGTTATCAGTTTAGATTTCAGACATAAAAATTGTCCACAAACTTTGTACAGACGGCCGGCAGCATGCATTCCATCTTAGGACAGGATGTACTGTGCATTGTTTCTAGAAACGTTGTAACCATTTATAAACTTCACAAATGTCAATCGCATGTTTTAATTTATTTCAGATCTTAATGTGACTTGTGGGGGGGAATCAAACCTTGCAGCTTCCAGATTTGACATTAGTTTCTTTAGATAGGATTTATTGTAAATACAGCTTTAAACCTGATTTATTTCACTCAGACACCAGTGAGTTCTGATCACCGTGTGCAGCTCCCGAGATAGTGCAACATTGTGCCTAAAAAAGATCCCTACTTGGCAACACAGAAGCAAAGTTCCCCAACAGCACGAGATTATGAAGTGATGCGAGTCAAGGATTAACACTGTCTGTCTGATTGAAATACTGCTGTTCTTATTAATGCTACTAAGAGTTTCACACAATTTGCACACGTTTAAAATGTGTCAAAGACAATATGTAAACCATTTAAAAGGAAATGGAAGCAAACTAACTGCATATGTCTGTTTTTTTTTTTTTTAGTTGGCAGTGGAGGTGAATGGGAATAAATCAACTGCACGGCCTCTATGACTTCCTGAGATCTTGCTTGCATTTCATAATGTGTCAAATCACATCCCATCAAACAGTCGACAATTACAGCGATTACTGCAGCTGCAGCGGAGTTTTCAGGAGGCAGAACATCTATGGGACACGATCACTGGCTGAGGAACAAGACAACCAGACAGGAAGCTCTTATCTAATCCTGCAAAACTCACATCTGATGATTGGCTGTCATCTCCAGAAATAACCAAACTCCACTGAGATGTGCAAGAGGATAATATGATGCAACACTAAGAAACGTCCATATATGTTGAGTACGCAAGTACAGAACACAGGCAGCATTGAAGCATTCGTTTCAATGTGTACTTGTATGTAGCTGAAATGACAAAGCCTCTCCGACTCTCCGCTTCGTGAGCCGGCGTGTGCAAAGACTCACCTTATTTTAAAAACTTACCAATGAGCACAAGCACAAAGATGACGGTGGCCACGCCTGCGCAAATATAGAACATGACTCGGATGTGACTCGCCAACTCGTCCAGATCGTCCACATTGGGCACAAGGATGGGTGGCACCAGGAAGCCGATGGCAATACCCAACTGCAGGAGGACAAACAAAAAGTTAGAAAGAAAGAAAAAAGACACTGTGTACTCACACAAACGCACACCCGTTCACAAATACAATGATCTCTACAGGAGCGGAAAAAGTCGTAGGTGAATATTAATCGTGGCAACATTGGAACGGCATTAAAATAAACTGAAGTAAAACTTTTAACACTCCAACTCGGCTCTTAACCTCAATGACCGATATATATTCTCATGAATGTACACGCAGAAGACAAGAAAGCTTTCCTAATTGGAAAAAAGGTCCTCTGCTGTAAAAATGATCCCAAAGGGACAACAAAGGTCAACAAAACTGTTGAAAATAAAGAAGCTTGTTAAAAGGCTGTCATACATCCCAGACACCCCAAGTTCAGACTGTGCACCTGTTGCCCTAGTCTAAAAGCTAAAAACTTTACACTCCTCGTGTTACATAACCACCAAAAAACTATTAATACACATGTACTTACCTTGCAGATTACATAAAACAAAGGTCAACAGATTCATCTTTGTGCAACCGTACAGTTGTTTTTTTTGTTTCTGGAGCATTTATAATGAAAGGAAGTTATAAAAATGAATCAAAATATGCAAAACAAAATGCCACACAAGCACATCCCGAGCTTCACAAGACCTTCTAAAAACATACTTTGATGTGAACTATTTCTGAAGGGCCCATGGGAATATGTGAACCGATTGGGCCTGAAAACCTGGAAGTTTCAGAGTCGGGGACCGGAGCCAAAGCAGATAAGACGTGGTGAGCGAGTAAACATCTATGACAATGTGTTCTTTTGTTTTAACCGCTTGGGAGCCGGACGAAAGCACAAAATACAAACGAACGCAACAATGATGGATGCTGTGCTTTGTTTAACAGGTGAAAGAGGACACACTTCAAATGATGCTAAAATAGCCGAGGTTAAAGAGTCCAACAGGGACGTTGCATTTAGCCAAGTTTCAGGTGGAGAAGCAAAGGGTTCAAGAGGAAATGTCAACCACCAGCAATTTCCCCCAGCTAGAAAAAACAAACCAAACGAACAGACATGAAGGAAATCACTTTGAAGCGTTAAGACAATATCTCCCTTTGTTACGGGAAGATTTGAGCTACTGCACAATCTGTCCCTTCGCCGTTTTCCCCAGTTTAAAACTCTGCTTTTCAACTTGATGATTTTTAAGATCAAACCTCCCACACTTTCACTCAGTCTAAAATATTTTTGTAAATCCAGCATAAATATGATTTCCTAAAACTCCAGTGGAGCAGACCTGAGCCACAGGGACTTCAGTCTGGATGGGAGGCCCAGCTGTGGTCATCGAACACACAAACTCTAAGAAGGTCGTGGCGTACATGCTGGGGTCAGACACGCCCATCTTGATCCAGGCCCCGATGTAGCTGAAGGCAGAACCCATCACCACAACATCTCTGATGCCCCGGCTGTCGAGGAGCCGTGCGACAGGCCCGATGAAGAGGAACGTAGGTGAGGAAGATCATAGACAGTCAACAGCCATGATGCACTGCAGCCACATGAACACAATCATCATTAAATTTTTCAGTCTTTCTCCCTCCTTGGATGGCATTAATCTGGCCTCAAGCTCTAATGTTGAAAATCTTGGTGTAATTTTTGATCAGGACATGTCTTTAAACCCCCACATTAAAAACATTACTAGAACCACCTTCTTCCACCTGCGTAATATCAATAAAATTAGAAGCATCTTAAAAATGATGCAGAAAAACTGGTTCATGCATTTGTCACGTCTAGACTGGCCTATTGGAATGGCTTATTATCTGTGTGTCCAAAAACTTCTTTAAAACATCTTCAGTTAAAATAAAATGCTGCTGCCAGAGTCTTAACTGGAGTTAGGAGAGATCATCTCTCTCCAGTTTTAGCTTCTCTCCACTGGCTCCTTGTCAAATCCAGAATTGAATTCTAAATCTTACTTCTAACCTACAAAGCCCTCAACAACCTAGCTCCATCTTATTTTTGAGATCTTGTTGTTCCAGATTTTCCTAACAGACCACTTCACTGTCAGACTGCAGGCTGTCTCGTGGTTCCTAGAGTTTCCAAGAGCAGAATGGGAGGAAGATATTTCAGTTATCAGGCTCCTATCTTGTGGAACCAACTTCCAGTTTCTGTCCGTGAGACTGACACATTGTCCAGTTTTAAGACTGGACTTAAGACTTTCCATCCATCCATCCATTATCTTCCGCTTGTTCTGAAGTCGGGTCGCAGGGGCAGCAGCTTGAGCAGGGAGGCCCAGACATCTCTTTCCACAGCCACATCTTCCAGCTCTTCTGGGAGGATTCCAAGGCGTTCCCAGGCCAACAGAGAGACAGTCTCTCCAGCGTGTCCTGGGTCTTCTCCGGGGTCTCCTCCCAGTCGGACATGCCCGAAGCATCTCCCTCGGGAGGTGTCCAGGGGGCATCCTTACCTTTCCTTTTTGATAAATCCTATAGTTTGGGTTGGCTTGTTATGCAGCTATAGGTTTAGACTACTAGAGGACAAATTGACCTCATTTCTTAAAACGAATTGTTAAAACTAAATAGTTTCATTTGAAATTATTTTTATCTTAACATGTGATTCTTGAGCTGCCATTGTGTATCTGTTCTTCCTTCCCGTTCCTCTCAAACCCATCCGGTTGAAGCAGATGGTCCTGAGCCTGGTTCTGCTACAGGTTTCTTCCTCCTGAGGGAGGTTTTCCTTTCCACTGTCGCCTTCATGCTTGCTCAAGATGAGAGTCTGTGATGGAGCAGTCTGTCCCTCAGATAAATAATATTAACTTACTTTTAAAGTATATAAATATTTCTGTTCAGTGTCCTGAGATGACTTCTGTTGTGGCTATAAAACTATCTGAATTGAATTTAAACTAATAAAAATCAAGATGGTAAATGAAATGGATCAAAACTTAATATTTAGAGATAAAAACAACTGATACTTTGGAGGGGTGTTGTATTTTATATATTAGAACAAAACAATGTAGCTTTTTAAAAAAAATGTTTTTAAACCAGCAACAAAGACATTCCAAGTCAGCAGTGAAAGATTGGATAGAATAATGACTAACTTCACCCTGCAGATATCCTAATCATCTGGGTTTTTTTTTTTTGGTTTTTTTAGCTCAATGGAAATTTCCTAAACTTTTAGCTGCAGTAACCACCCCCTCATCTGTCTCCAGCCTCTGGCTCAATTTCAGATTGAAACACAAAACTAAAACATGAATGGAGCATGGACAGTGATCATACATGTACTAAATTACATGTATTCGAGTACGTGTATGGCTGTGGTCGAGGCTGCCTCAGGTTTGTGTTATATTGTTAAAAACACACACAATAAAACAGCTGAAACAGATTATAAAACAGACTATGTTGCGTCTAGTTTCACAGCTAAAACGTGTTCAACTTTTAGGTTAAGTCTTAGAGATGAACAGGTTTCATAAATAACTTTATAATCTGTTTATATCTTTTGGCTTTTAACAAATAAAAGCTAAAAAAAAAATTTGGAAAGAGTCTTTAGATCGTCACAGCTGGAGTCGAGCAGCTTGAATACACAGCTAAATCAACAGGATGAATAAAAAAATGCACTTTACCTGCAAAAGATGGCGACATTAACAATATTTTCTACTGAGGCTCACTAAAATCATACCTTATAAATTATAAATCACTGTACTTGAAGTTGAATAAAACATGCAGTCAATGGAAACGAGTGGAAAGGTTAGAAAATGCAACTTGGCCTCATAATAAGTACAAATGATTATTTAAAGTATTGGGACTTTCTGGCAGATGCAGGTAAACAAAGACTTGTGTGTTTTCTGCACATTTGTATAAATGCACCAAAATAACAGCGATGATTCAAACAATTACTTTAAAATCTTATGAATTGGTTCATTTGACACTTCACTTAAGGAGAAATAATTCTCAAGTTCATGTTTGTTTCTGGATTTGCAGGTCAAAAAGGTTTACAAAGTGCAGGGCCCACTTGTAAAATGATTGCCAGCGTGGTTTTTCCTCTTAGCCATAAAAATAACTGCGCTATTTCTGAGAAAGTTGGAACATTGTCTTATAAAACAAAAACGCATTAAGGCAAAATGGATAAATGAATGAATGAATAATGTGAATCTAATAATTTGGTTAGCTGGCAACAGGTCAGAAAAAAAGTACTGGTTGTGATCCAGAGAGGCTGCATCTCTGGAGTCAGAAGTAAAGATGGGCAGGGGTTCACCAGTCTTTAAAACCTGCATCTAAATATTGTGGAACAATTTAGAGTAACGTCCCTCGATGAGAAATGTGTTAGACTTTAAATATGTAAAAGTTTATCATATTAAAATGTTTCAAAAATTGTTGCCATCTTAGCTTTTTTTTTTTTTATTAATGGACTGAACAAAGTGGAAATGATCTGTGCAGATTTAAATTTCAACATTTTCTTTGGAAACCAGATGCCCATCATAGAGAGGAGAGGGATCATCTGGTTCAACAAGTTCTTAGTTTCAACATTTATTACGGTTACAAAATTACATCCTGTTTTTATTGACTTTTTTCCACAACTTCCCATCGTTTTTTTTTTTTTTTTTAACTGGGCTTGTAATAAAACATCGCCTCTTAGCTCACCTGATTCCCAAAAACCCCGATGGAGCAGGCAGTGGAAACCTCGTTGACTCCGAACCAGGTGGACGCCAGACTGGAGGGCATCCCGAGGATGAAGATCTGAGCCAGAGAGCTCGCGCCCTGTCCCAGCATGGTGACCCAGAACAGGTCGGGCCTCGCGCTGGCCACCTTTATCCACGTCCCTGCGCAGTTGAGCGCGTTCGCCAGGAGCGCAGCGAAGCGCAGCCCCTTCTTATCCAGAATCCACGTGGCTGGGAATATGAAGGGGATATAGGCGAGCATGTAGATCATGGAGAGCCAGTCCACAGCGATGCCCTCCACGTTGTAGAACTTCATGATGATGTTGGTGATGATCCCGTACTGGATCCATTGGTAGGCGTTGCACAGAGAGTAGGAGCTGAAGAGGAACGCGATCACCCAGCGCCTCCGGTACAGACGCGTCTGGAGCGCACAGTCTCCGTTTGGGGCGCGCTCAGTTTGGACCGTCACATCTGGACCTTTGGCTTCCAGATGTTGGCCGTTCCCTGCGCCATCCTGGAGGCTGCTGTTCCCCATGACTCGGTTAAAATAATGTAAAAACAAGTTCTCTTAAAACAGAGAAAATACTCGGAGCGGACACGTGACGGTGTCACTTTCGATGTGATGAAAATGTCAGGAAGTTGTTCTTTAGAGAGCTGAGCCGAACTTTCCGAGATCTCTCCTTTATTATCGGAGCTGGGGCGACTTTTACTCCACCAAGCTGCTGAGATAAGAGATGACAGAGGTCCTCCTGCGACCTCGGTTCTGTTCAATAAACCTCCTTTAAACAACGCTCCTCCTCCATCTGAAAGAATGTTTGGTTCTCCTTTGCTGCCTCAGCTGTTAATCTGCTTATTAAATCCCTCCTGCAGGAGCAACGAGGCCTGGCAAACATTTAGCTGTGAAAAGTCAGAAATCAGGTGCGTTAATGAGGGCTGCGGCCCATTTAGAGGAACTGCTCATTTGCTCACAGCAGCTGAAGAAGTGGAACGCAGCCCATGTTGACACATTAAATATCATGGGACGTCTTTTGTGCTACAAATAGTGAATATTGCTTTTTTTTTTTTAATCTGATTGTCTTTCTGCACGTTTTGTGGAACTTATTCCTGAATACTTTGTGCTTTTTTTTTTTAGATGTTTATAAATGAGAAAGCTCATCCAGGGGACTACATTTTTTGTGTGTACTTTTTATGCTTTAAAATATTTAACTTTATTTACCACACATAATTTCACCTGTTTATTATGCTAAATTTAGCTTTAAGCCACACTTGTGCTACTTTTTACTATTCTGCTAAAGTTTTACTTTGACATTAGCTCGTTTTAGCTTTTGCCTATTCTGTAAGATTTTAGCAGGCATTCTGCTATTGTTCAGCTTCCTTTAGCTTTGACCCTCCTCCCGGTCTTGGGTCAAAATTAAAGCCTTGTTTGTCATTTTGACCCAAGGTCAGCAGGAGGGCTTGGTTTTAGCTTCTTTAGAAAATGTCAGCAGTTATTCAGCGCTTAACGTTAACTGTGAGATTGCAAAAAATTGAACATTTTGTTTATTTTTAATAAATCTAATGTGATAAAAGTTTTTTCAACTAAATTAAAATTTATAAAATATTTAGGTTAATGCATCGTGCAGTTTTTGGGGTGTTATTTCATTTTATCACCACAAGGTGGCAGGATTCACCTGAAAATGTTTTTTTTTTAATCAGAATCAGTTTATTATTATAAATAGAAGTTAAATACAGTATTCACAAATATATCACACACACGTGTGTGTGTATGTATGTATAATATATATATATATATATATATATATATATATACACACTATATGTGTTAATATATATACTTACAATAAGTATGGGCGTCGTGTAGGGA